ATCGATTTAAAAAACGTAAACGATATAATATTTGATACATACTTTTTTTTTTTTTTTTTTCACGCGTATAACCGTAAATATAAGAACCTGTCGGGGCCCTTTGATATAGAGAGGGGCGTAATACAACTGAACACCGAAAAAATAATAGCAATTGTCCAATCACTAAAATTATATTTGAAATTTCTTAGTCTGGATAGGGGCGGATGCCGCGTCTCGATCCCCTCCCCCCTCCCGGGCGTCCGTGCTGGCCACCCCTCACGCCTGTGGTCGTACCTGTTATGGTCGTACGGTCGAGAAAATAACCGACACGCGCGTTTTACGCCGTGCCGTCGAGACGTAATTTCGCCGCGCACGAGAAATCGGTTTGCGGGGACGCACGGAGCGAGTGGCAGAACGGCGACGGCCGAGGTGTTAATTCGACGCGGCTCGCACATACGCGCCGCCGCCGCCGCCGCCGCCGTGTGTGTAATAATTATCAACCGACGACGACGCGACGTGTCGAGTGATGTGCTCCGCGTACGGCGGCAGGACGTGGACGGGGAATTAGAGGGGGGAGGGAGGGGGGGCGGAGGACTAGAGCGAGGAGATAAATAATAGAACCCCTCGCGGTAAAAACGGCCACCGCGGACGGAACGGGGCCCGAAGAGATCGCCGGCCGATCGATGTGGTCGCGAGAGACGTTCGAAACGCCCGCCGCCGCCGAGACGCGCTCAAGACGCGCAGACGGCGGAGGCGTCAGCGGCGGCGGCGGCGGGGGGGGGACGACGACGACGAGGCGGCGGTACCGAGTTAATATAAAAAGATATATTGGTATAATTACGACGGCGGGCGGAGGCGCGGTCGGCCGTCGCGCGCGCTCGGCCAAATGGCCCGGAGGATTAAAGGACCCTATTAAACCGTCCCCGCGGCGGCGAGGAGGAGTAGGCGGCGGAGAGGATGAGGAGGCGGCGGCGGCGGTCTTCGCGTGTGACCGCCAAATGGCAGCTTTTACACACATACTTGTCCATCCCGCCTCCCTGCCCATCCGCCGCCCGACGCCGCGCCCGTCTACGCACTTGACCGGGCGGCGGCGGAGGCGCAAGGGTAATGAACGAGCCGGGGCCCGGCCAACTTTCTCATTAGCGAGAACTATGGGAGGTAATGCCCGCCGCCGCGATCCCTGTCCGCCGCCGTCGTCGGCGATGTTCCCTCCGCGCGCCGCCGCCGCCCCGGCAATGATCAATGACCGGTAGGCCGGAGGTGCGGCGGCCGCGGCGGCGGCGGACGGCGGTCTTAATGAGAGATAGACAAAAGAAACGGGGAAAAAAAACTTTCATTATATTAACAGCCCCGAGCATTGCGCGCCCGTCCGCCGCCGCCGCCGCCCCGTCCCTCCGTGCCGCCGACGGCGCGGTGTCCGAAACCGGCCGCAGCTTATTGCGTCCCGCGCCGACGATTAAAATTAACGGATACCTGCAAAACCGTCCGCAACGACACTTTTTGACACGCCGCACCCGGAATGTCACGCATCCACCGACACGAAGAATTACGCTATGACTCGAACGTTTAAATCGTCGAATTCGAAAAAAAATAATAATAATAAAACCAAAAACCGTGGTGCATTGCAGGGTAACGCGTTGATCGTGGAAACCTCGATGTCGGGTTCGATAGGCCGGCGGCGCCGAGCTGCGTTTTTGCGGGGCCAAAAAGTTCTGTCGCCAAACGAACTCCCGTGCGACGCTCTTGCACCGTTATTAATATTCCACGCGTACCGGTTCGAGAAAAAAAAAAAAAACAACACGGTCCGGGTACCCGTCACGGGTCCACCACTATCCACGACCGCCGGTTTCGGCGCCACTGTCGATAGCGTCCGTAACCGCGCAATAAATTTTCGCAAATTTTTTTTTTTTCCGTAAAAACCACGCGTCCAATCTCCGTACGCGGTTTAGAAATTTCGATTTTGCTCCGAGGCCCGCCCCGACCGATTTTTCCCCTTCCTTCCCCCCCTCCCCCGTTAACTATACCCGACGTGTCGCCGCGCAACAAATCGAGGGGTTATTTCGCGTTTAGAACGGTTTAAAATCTTTAGTTTATTCGTATCGGACGACGATTAACAAAACCATTCGACCGGACCTGAACGCGGGCGCAGTATGTGCGTGAACGTGCCGCCCGGTCGCAAATTAATAATTTTAATTCCGTCCGGATCCCGCGGCGGACGCGGAATTAAATTTCCGTTTATTATCGCGTGTTCGCGTATAATTGTACACGTGCAGTAAAGCGGATCTCGAGTGCAGTCTTAACGGCAGTGCTGTGACGTCGTTGATTATTATAACATCGCGCGCCCGCCGTCCGGGCACTAACGGGTTGATAAGCCAGAGTTTTTAACATAATAAATTTATTAATTTTTTTTTTTCTCGACTATTAACGAATACAAAATAACGAGCTGCTATTGAACGGCCGTAGAGTTGGCTCCATGTTCAAACGAATCCAGTCGATTTCGACTATTATTTGTACGCCCATCACAAATAAACATGTTATTATTTATCAGCGTATCGTCGTCGGTGTATCACGAACGTTTTAAATTGCGAATCGTTACGAACGCCTGTTATTCGGTCGCGGTTGCGACGTCGCGCGTAGGTCATCGTGGGCCACCGTTACAGTCGGTAATCCGGCGTTTTTTCGCGTTCGAAATCACCGAAAATGTTAATTCCGACACTTTCGGTTGACTTCCGCGTCGACTTCCGAATCTGTTCGTGTTTCTCGGCTTCACGCGAGTTCGACCGGACCGAGTTGAGAACTCGGTGAGCGTTCGATTGTCGTTTGCCTGGAGGTAAATGTCGCGGACGTCCCGAACGGCGGACCGTGATTACGACGCGCGGTCGGAAAAACAACGCACGGCCCGTGAAAACAACGCCCGCGCGCCAAAGGTCACGCGACTGTTATTGCGGTACGGTCGCGACGAGCGTACGGGGTTGGAGGGGGGAGAAATACAAAAAAATTATAGCGTACGGAAAAACCGCCGCCGTCGCCGTGGTCGCGGTCGTCGGTAATTACCGCGCGGCGGACCCGTGAGAACTTCTCGGACGTTTAATTACCGGTTGCCGCGAAAAAAAAAAATAAAAACAAAACGAAATGAAAAACCGAAACGCGCACGGAAAGTCCGAAACCGCACATTACGACGGGCGCGCAGCCGCGGCCGCCGTGCGTGCGGACGCGGGCCCGGACCGCCTTAATAACCGACGTTGACGGCGGCGAAAATACGGGAAACCGTCGCGAAAACGGCAGCGAACACGGCAACCGTCACGTGTCGTGTCGCCGCCGGCCGTTATTGTTTCGCCGCGCCGGTCCGGTCGGCGCGTTAATTACTGCCGTCCGCAACCGGATGCCGCGTCGTCGTTTCGCCCGCTGGCCGGTCGGCTGTGCCGCCGCGACGTTGCGTACACCGGGGCGAAAGAGAACGGGGCCGGACCGTAGAGTTCGGTCCGAGCGAAGGTGTCGAAACAGCCCCGAAAAAAGCGCTTCGAAACGATTGTAGACGAACGATCGAACATCGTACAGAACTCGGGTCGAGCGTTCGGGAATAGCGTTTGATATCGAGGCAGAGCCGTTAGCGGAGTGCCGTTTAAAACTTTCTGCCCTTTTTTTTTTTTTTTTTTTTTTTTTTTTTTCCGGCGGACTTTAGACGCAATCAGTCCCGGGCCCGAATAATAACTGACTCGAAACGACAGACGGACACATACTTCGGGTGACGGGCGGGCCGCTGTTGCAGGCGAGGCACGTCGGGAATGTTACGTACATCTGTGCGCAACGGTCGAAACGATTTCGAGCGGAGTTCGGTCGTCCGCGGCCGCGAGACACGCGATTTGAAAATAATTATGTTCTCAAAAATTACGCAGTTTTCCCTCGCGTTTTATGCAAATTATCATGAAAACTCCGGGGAAAATCAAAAACCGAATTACCGCTTTAAATCGCCGCCCCGGTTCGTATTCCCGTATCAGAAGTAGTGCTACACTTCGGAAAATCGGAGCGAAATTTCCGGGCGGGGCGAGGCGACCGGGTACGACGATCCCACCGGTACCGAACGAACCCTCGGCTCGATTAGCGTCGCGAACGTGCGCGTCGTATGAATTTTCGAAATCGCGGCCCCCTCCCCCATCCGGTTATTTGGTCCCGAATCCGCCCGGGATCGCACAATAATTACGCAGTTGTGCCGTTCCGAGCGGTATTGAGGGAGACTTATGCAAATCGGTTTATGGTTTTAGATTGGTCGCGCGACGGTTTTCCCCGTAACACCGGACGGACGAATGTTTTCCCGTAACCGAGTGCACAAACCGCACAGTAGTTTTTCCATTTTAGATCCGTTCGCGTAGGCGTGCGTTCGTTCCGCGCAGTTTCTGCGCGTCTACACAGGTAAACAATACGCTCGGGCCGTACGGCGGCCGCGGCCGAGAAAAACACGCGGCACCGGCGGGTGGGTGGGGTGTTGGTGGTGGTGATGGCGGCGGCGGCGGCGGTGGCGGTTGGGAGTAGGGAGAGGGAGAGTTGATGAGTTTGAGAGGACGCGGTGTCCGCCGCACCGGCCCGGCCCGCGCGATCGACGTACGCGACCGCACAGAGCGAATTTCCGTTCGGCGGCGACGGGCCTTGCGCCGGTCCGGTTTCGCGCGGCGAACGCCATTGCCGGGACACGGAGCCGGGAACATCGGTCACCGTTATCGCGTCCTCGCGACCACGTTCCGGGCGGTGTTTTTTTTTTTTTTCGACATTTCAACGCGCGCGTCGTAACGGCCGCGGTCGTCGGCGCGGACATTCTTAGGCGGACGGTTTTTGATCATTTCGCACGTTCGTTGCCCGCTTGAAAATCGAAATGCCGAGGAAAAAAAAAACACCGGCGTGCGACAGGCAATTATTCTCGGCTCGGGTCCGGCGATAGGCTCCGGACACGGTCCGACGCGGACGCTAACAGCGCAAAACGAACGACGAAAAGTATAAAACATGTAACTCCGGGGCACGTGGCATCGATGACGCGCGCGCGCGTGTCGCGTCCGGAGTTTCCCGTGAAAGACGACCGCCCCGCCGGCACGAGAAGGGGCCGCAAGGGCAAAGACCGATTCGGCGAAAGATTCCAAGAAGATCGGTCGTTCGGTATCGGACGGGGTGCGGGCGGCGGACAGCGAAAATCTAATGTTTCGCGGACCGCGGGGATTCGGGCGCGGCGGGGCCGCGAGAAACGGTCGGACGCCGAAAAGGGATCTGAGGCGTTGTCGGCCGCTGGAGGCGTCGCGAAAGTGGAAGAACGTCGCGTGACGGACGCCAGAAAATCGGTACGAAAACGGCTACGAATTTCGTAGCGCGTTAATGATTCGGATTTGATTTTTTTTTTTTTTTTTTTCCCCCGGACGGTTTTAGATAATAATAACAATCGGCGAATGTCCCGAACGGTCGGGGCGATAACACGCGCGACACAAATCGAAAACGGCATTCGATTGTTGTAATCGTTTTATCGACGGCGTCGCCGCGGCGTTTCGGCACGACCGAACGGTTTTGATTTTTCCCCGTCGTTCGTTCCGCGCACTGCCGTTGTCCGTCTTTCGGGAACGGGCGTGGGGATTCGATACCGCTGCTGTTACGTTTCGCCGAGCAACGGCTACGCACACGCCGCCCGGTAAACCGCTCCGCGGGACAACGGTACGGTGGGCGATCGGTCCTCTGAAAACGCGCCCGTCCGGGAATGTCGAATTTTCTTTTTTTTTCCCCCATCCGAAACGCGTTTTTCCGTTTCGTTTCAACCGTCTTGTTTTAGCGTTGAAAATCCCGTAAACAAACGGCGCCGTCCGAATCGCGTCGCAACGTTATTAGACGACGTTGACATTATTCCGTTTCATACCGACGGTTCCCGCATTTTCGCAGTCGACAATCCGTCCAAAAGCCGTATCCCGGGTGAAACGCGCGAGGTTTCACGGTCGTTTTGACGAACGTGAATTTCACGATTAGCCATTTGAACTCGTGCAGTGCGCACCTGTACGGGTAACCTATTACCGTAGGTTTTTGCCTAGTAACGTTCGTTTTGTACAATCGCGCGTGTTGGTGTGTATGCTCACCGGTTATTTAACGTTGGCGTATTTGCATTTATAACGAGAGAACGGAGAAATATTAGATAAAAAATTAATATTGATTATTTGAAAATTAAAAACCAGAATTGATACAAATCAACAGGTTATTATTTTTTTTTTCAAAAATTAACAATTTAAAACGACATTCGTGTAAATCGTCGTAAAACCCGGTTTATTTATCGTTGAAAATACGGGTTCCGGTTCTCGACGTTTTAAAAGTTTTCGGGTTAAAGAACCGGTAATTTTGGTCTGGTTTCAATACCCGGTTTAAACGATTTATAAAAAATAAATATATCGCGCGGATCTTTAAGAGGACGTTCTACCCCCGTCAAGAGACGGCTTAATTTTGATTTTTAGAGTAAAAGTACATATTGTGAAATGTATAGATAACGATACTTTGAAAGGAATTTCGCTATAGGATTTTTGTGCTATTCAAAATATAGCAGCTCGATATAAAAAATTCAAAAACTTTAATTTTTAAAAATAACTGTAACTTTTTTAATAGTTCATAATAATAATAAAAAAAAAAGGACGGGCATACTTCGTACGTGGGTGCAGCCACTGTTATCGGTGGGAAGTTGGGAAGGCAGGCTATAAACGGGAATCAATTTTTATATCTGTAAGCAACGATAAACCATTGCTAACGAAAAGACGATTCTGAACCGAGTTCAGTTGACAATGTTGCTTTTTTAACAATATAATATATGTCATATTATGGTAAAATGATTAAGACAATTGATGCGTTTCCATGACAACAATGATTGTTTGAAAAGGATCAAAAAAATAAAAACCTAATAACAACAAAAAATAAATGAAATCGGTTGCTAATGACCACCTTATTTTTAAACTTTCATTCTTTCTTAACCCAAAGACCAAGGTTTTCTTGATTATCTCGAATATTAATGAGAATTTCAAAAAACGACCTCTCTAAAGTGCCACCCAGAGAACGTTTCCGTCCGGAAAATGTGCCATGCTTGATAATCGGAGTGAGCTTTCCGGACGAAAAAGCGTTCACATAAAAAAAAAAAAACAACAATAATCATAATAAACATCGTTGTAAAACCGATAAATTCCTCGACAGAATCTAAAACACCTGTGACGGCGTCCCCTCCGAAACGTTCCGCTCCCCGTACGCGATTTCATGACAATAGGCGCTTTGACCCTACACGAATGAAAACTTAGCTACAGTTTGAATATTATTCAAAATCCTATGCGGGACGGGCGGGATCGCCGTCGAGAGTGAAGGCGAATGGCGGAAGAAGATACGGGGGTCGAACGCGAGCGTACTGCGCATACCGGCAACGGCGGATTAATCGAGGCGGTTTTTTTTGTTTTTTTTTTTTTTTTTTCCGTTAAAACTTATTTTCTCGTCATTATCGCTCCCGCCGGAGCCGAATTCCCGTTCGGCGCTCCCGCCGCGGTTCTGCAGGCAGCAATGTCGCGGTCAAACTCCACCGTAACGCGCAGTGTCCCCGTCGGACGAACGTTGCGAAACCGACGAACAAAAACAAACACGCGCCGTCTCAAACGTCTCGTTGCGCGGGAACATAATCGTTTCGAGGCCCGGACGGTATAAAATTAAAAAAACGAAAACACGCCGGAAAACGACGGCGACGCGAGAATATGAATATACGTGCGTCATACGACTACCGCATCCCCACGACCCCGCGACCACACACCCCCTCGCCCGTAAGTTGTACGACCGCACCGGGGCACCAAAGTAATTAGATTTAGTGCACTCGGTTTCTGTATATATTATTGGAGTTTTTTTTTTATTTCTTTATCAATAGATTTACCCCCGGAAAATAATCGCGTTACCGACGATAATCCATTAGGGGGCATTCGATTCAAGTGTATTATGTATACGGAATACGTCGTGTGTCGCGGCGTGCGTTACGGGAATTCTCGGTTTTTTTTTTTTTTTTTTCTAAGACGTATGTAAAGCGTACAGGATGCTGGGGGGGCTAAGGGAGCCATGGTCCCCGAAAATCTCCTCTTGACTCCCTCGACATCTCTCGACGGGTCTCGCCTGAAAACGAGCACGGTGCAAAAGGTTTTCTGGTTAACCGTATTTTTTATTATACGAGATAATTTTCTTACATTTAAATTTCATAACGGGTCGGTTTGCGGGTCGAATATTAAAACCAACAGCGCAAAACTGTGTCGCGTGAACGCAAATTTGCTATGCCGTACGATTGCAAGACGCAGACAGCACGTCGTAGTGCGCACTACGCCGTAGACGTGGTAAAATCGTCAATACATTCCGGTGGTTTTTCGGCTATTTACAGGCATTCGAAATGATTGTCGAGATGTAAAAACGCGGTCGTTTTGTGTTCATATTATGTTGTCGAGAAGTAATACACAATTTTAATTTAAAAATGTTGTGTTTTTTTTTTCGAAACATATATAAGCGAACCACGCTCAGAACCGCGTGAATCACGTTATCCTGTATAGCTTACCTTTCCGACAACCCACCTATAACAGCGGCACACCCACGGCGTAAAGTGTTTCGGGGTTTATTTTGGTTTTAATCATATTCAAAGCAGAACGACATTTCAATATTACGGTTTTTCGACCGTAATCTATTACGTTTAAAAACAGTATTATTCCCGGCCCCGCCGCGTCTCCGAGGACGGATTATAAGGGTCTTGTTTGCACCCGGATCCCATCTTTAAAATTGGCTCTCTTACACGACAATACATTTTTCGAGACTATTCTCTCTATTAATACGGACGCGACGGACGGCGTTCGGTGCGTCGGCGCGACTACGGGTCTTTAGTGCCCCCGAGTTGAAAATTAGTGGCTCGAGAAAAAAGAAAAAAAAAAAAATAATAATAATAATAACAATCAATACGCTTTTCCGCACACAGCAACCGCCGAATATTTAACCCGGCGCGTTTCGCAAACAACGAGCGAAACGAAATGCGGATTACCTATACAGACGACGACGCGTAACGCGATGTGTGCGAGAATGAACGTCGAAACGGTTACGATAAATTAGTAAGTTTAATGGAAAGACGGACGCGCTTCGCACGGCGGGCGGGCGACGAGTTTGGACGGCGGCGGGAATAGTGGGCAATGCGATTGGTATCTGTACGCCGCGTTTCAGTTGCCGACGATTGAAACGGTTCAAGCGACAAGATTCATTTAGTACGCGTGCGCGCGTAAATTTCCCCGGTCGCCGCGTGCGGGAGAGCGAGAACGAATGCCCTGGTCCGCCCTGGGGAAAAAAAAAAAAAAACTCGCCGCGCGACGCGAATTACAAAAACCGCGTAACGAAACGCGACGCGGCCGCCCGTATGAGGACGAGGGTCGCGCGACGGGGATCGCGGGGACCGTGGCCCGCGGCGGGTCTTCGACGGGCCCGCGATACCGGCGGCGTCCGGCGGCGTCCGTGTTGTTCACGCGCGCGGCGGTAATTTTTTCGGGATCCGCGGCGCGTAATTCACGGGCAGCGACGCCGCGGGGCCGCGGTGTGGTGTGTGTTTGTGTGTGTGTGTGTGTGTATGTGTGTGTGTGTGGGGGGGGAAATCGTTATTTCCCGGCGAAAACCGCGGCGGCGGACGTTACGCCGAAAAATAACGTATATAATAATAATAATAATAATAATTATCGCGCTGCGGAACAATGATGATGTATTTGGGTTACGCGCGCCGTTTTTGGACGTCTTCCAAATTAACGCGATCCGCTGCGGGCGAGCGCAAATTGACGTCGGCGGCGGCGGCGGCGGTAAGAAAGACAAACAAAAGAGAAGGAAAAGAAGACCTCGGGCGGGAGCGGGTACGGGCCGCGGCGTCGGCGGCGGCGAGCGCGGGGAAGCGTCGAAAGAAAAATAAAGCAATTAGCCCGGACGGACCGAAGGGTTTTTAATTAGAACGCCTACGCCGCGCGCGCGCGTGCACGGATACGTATACGCCACTCGTACTCGCGCGCCTCACATACGGACGGCGTACGTATATACACACGCATACGCGTGCGTATATATATATATATATGATTGTATGTATATATGTATGTATGTATGTATGTATGTATGTATATACAGCGTCGCGCGCGCGACAGACGGGCGAGGAGGTTTTTAATTGGAAAACCTCCTCGGATCCTATGGTTTTAGCGCGGCGGCGGCGGCGGCCGATGACTTTTCCTCGGGGGAAATTCGATTCGACGAACGTTATTTTTTTCCGGCGCCCTCGCGTCCGCGACGACCCCCCCCCACCCCTCCGCGCCCGCCCGTCACC